AATGGTGTGGGGACTGGTTTTTCTAACGCACCACTGAACCCAAGTCGGTCTCTTTAAAGCAGAAATCTGGCCGCTTAGTGAGCACGCAGGAATGGTTCGCTCGTTCGGACATTTTTTATAATGGCCGTCGGCTCTTCTTTTGTTGGACATGAAAATGCTACATTGACAATCGCGTGCATGTACATTTTACGAAATTAAGAAAAGTGAATAAACTTTAGAGAAATGTAAAGTTGTAAACGAGGAAAGATTGGGTTGCTGGGTAAGGTAGCTATCGCGCAATCGAAGTTTACTTGTTAACACATCGTAAAGCTTTTGGAATACGGCTAGGCCCTTCTCGGGCAATTAAATTATCTCATTATGAAATTAGTGCCAAGTTTTTTTGACTGAACGTCCTGGTGTCAACTTTTAAAGTTTATTTCTTGCATTACCATTGTAAAGATATGTTTCTGATATTCAAGACGTCACAGTGTAAAATAACCAGTTTACTCTTATAGGGTGTTTAGGTAGGTTTGCAGAATGCATTTGATAAAACTGCGAAAATCTCGGCTACCTCAGTGGGATTTGGAAGGCCGTGGCCTCAGTACAACCAACACTCTTACCAGCTAGATCACTACGCCCATACCGACATCCGTGAGTTTAACAAGAGGTGTTAAGGCTAAGAAGGTTTAACCCTTAGAGCTGCGATATTCCAGGCCCGGTTCCTTAGGCGATGAGAGTGAAATCTTGGAAGGCTAGAGTAGGAGGAGGAATATATCATGTACAGAAGGAATTGGAGAAGAGGCAGTAAGAAAATTATTATCAGACGCCTGCAAAACCGCAAGCCAGCGGACGGCGTCTGAAGTGAGGTCTGCTCGGCAGTCGTCAAATGAGCTCCTGTGTGAGTCGTTCTGTGATTGGCTCTTACGGAGACAGTGAGCAATTCCGAAAGTGCATTTTGACTTGAGCTAGTCAAGACAGGCGTTCACAAGTGCACTTCCAGTTGAGCCAGTCACTGCAAGTTGGCTCACATCTGGGTCAAGTTTCTCGCTCAGCCTAAAGCAGCTTATGAAAATCACCAATTGTGTAACATGTAGCTGACTGTTCCAAAGGGATTTCCTAAGCAGTCAATGTGATAATCTACTAGATGCCTACGAGAGGGGTGATGTGACGCAAAGGCGATTATATTCAGGGCTTTCATGGTCCCTGACGATGCATTGACATGAATATGCTCCATTAAAAGGCGCTCTATTTCCCTTCATTTAAATAACCTATAATGGGACGTGTACGACTGCGATGTTACAGTACTTTTCGCATAAATGCGAATAATAAGGATTCCGTACGCAATAACGGCGTAGAGGCCAGAAACTTATTAGACGATTGAGCATGCCGTCATAAAAATTGTGCGTATTTGATCGTAAATGAAGATTTATATAAAGGAATGCCTGGAGATCAAATTTTACAATTTGTTTGCTCGAAACAAAGCCTTTCCAGCGGCCTATCAAGCAAACGAACATAAAAAGTTGGTGACTCTGAACCAACTCCAACTATCTCTGTGGTAAATATGCTTTCGGACGGGGTCGCAACCAAACCTGCGCTTTCATTAACCCAATATTTTTATTTTTAAACGCAGCATTGTCTGCGTTTGAAAAAAACCAGCACCGATATGATCGCTCAACTAATGGATCCGCTAGCTCTAAATAATTGTCCCATTTTAGAGGAAGAACTGGCTTTATTCTGGCAGTCGACTTTTGTGGGAATTTCTCCTTTTAACGCACCACTGAACCCAAGGCGGTCTTTTTTAAGTAGGAATCTGGCCGTTTAGGGAGTATTGTGGACGCAAGAATGGTTTACTTGTTCAGAAACTGTTTAAATGCCTGTCGGCCGTTCTTTTATTGTACATAAAAACGCTACATGGACAACCACGTGCACATGTCTATCTCAAGAAACTAAGGAAAGTAATTAAGCGTTACAGAGATATGATGTAAATTAGGAGAGATTGGGTAGTTGGGAATGATGGAGATCGTGAAATCGGATTTCCCGTGATCACATATCGTAAAAGTTTGAATTACGGACGATCCCCTTCTCAGGTGGCAAAAGTCAGTATTACAGTAGCACACGGTGTTTGACTGAGTGACGTGACGTATAATTGTAAAATTCATTTCCTGCATTAGCGTTGTAAACATGCTTCTTATATTCAAAAAGTCACAGTTAAGGATAAACCGTTTAGTATATTAGGGTGTGTTGGTAGATTTGCATATAGCATTTGATACAACCGCGAAAAAATCGGCGACTTCTGTGGGATTCGGAACCTATATAGCTAGGCCCTGGCTTCAGTACAACCAAAACTCTTACCACATAGATTACGATGCCCGACCGGCAGCCATGAGATGGCTCACAACTGGATTGAGTCACTCACTCAGCCTACAGCAATATATGAAAATCACCAATTCTGATACATGTCGGTGGCTGTACAAAAGGAATTTCCTAAACATTCAATTTAATAATCTACCAGATGCCCACCAGACGGGTGACGTGACGCAAAGGTGATTAAACTCACGGCTTACAGTGGAAATCCAACAATTCGGCCACAGTAAGCAATGTTTTACTAAGAAAGCAATGCTATAATTAGCTACATGACTACTGGATGGATGACTTTACTCACAGCTGATAAAAGTCAGGGTTCTCAGCGGGGCCTCATAGCTCAGATGCCTCCAGCCTGTGTGCGACTCCAACTCCGAGTGGTGCAAGAAGGCGGCCGGCGGCCCACAAAATATGTTTCACGTATGAGATCACTCGTCAAAATGTGTGAATCGGTGCGGTCTTAATTGCCCATCTCGTTTGCGCGTGTACCGGTTGCCGAAGTTTTGCGGGTAGCCATTTTCGCCATCTGCATTATTATTCAGAGGCAGAGACTGAATTATGATTCGAACCTCTGAATCGAAATCGAGTAACTACAGTGGAATAACCGCGAAATATTCATCAAGCTGCCTTAAGGCAATCAGTAATATATACTAAAGTTAAAAAAAATATGCCATCAAAAAGCCCAAACAGGTGTTTCACTAATATTCTTCCATGACACAAAACAAATTCGAGGTTTTAGTTTTGAGGAAATTTAGGGGTAACAGTGATCTTTTCATTGGCGTGTTCCTACTCCCCTTTCTGTGAGACATTCTAGAGGCATGCTTTAAGATGAAATTAATTAAAGAGGTTTGGCAGATTTTGCCTAATGTAAGTTGACTCAATTGTGAAAAGTTCACTACATTTGGCGGGATTTGAACCCGCATGGTAGGTAAGGCCTTAATGCGAAGTCTATGGTGTATCAGTGGAGCTACAAAAGCCACACCTTGTGCCGTGAATTAAGTTACACTTGGGTCAACTTAAATTAAGCAAAATCTGCCACACCTCCTTAATAATAAGTCAGTCTAGTAATTATTCTGGTGGATTCTAGCTGATTGCTTATGAAACCCCACTTGGACATTCAGATTGCTGTTCCGTACTTGTGAATTCCATACGAACGGTAAAGTTCGGCGGGTAAAATCGATCCAAGTGTGATACGTTCACGGCGC